AAAGGGGGAAAAAACCCAAGAGCCTACGGTAGCTCAGTGGGTGCACCCCGGGGCAAGGTCCCACTTGCGCAAATTAGGAGATTTCGGCCGTTGATCTTTTTTTTTTATATCTACGGTGAGTCTCTCTTCATTCGTGCAAGTGGGACCTACAGTAGCCCCCGGGGTGAGGTCCCATGAGCAAAGAGGATCGGAATTCAATGCGTGTCACTGCCTGAATTTGGACATGTTTGAGGTAAGGTGCAGAAAATCCCAATTGATCCTTCTTTTCTGCATCATTGCAAAAGTTACGCCCAGATTCAGGCAGTTATGCCAATCCTCTTTGCTGGGGGGCCAGGGCCGTGGTCCCATTAGTAGCAAGAGAGCATCGGATTGAATGCCTGAATCTGGACATGTTCGAGGACAGGAGCAGGAAATCGAGATCGAACTGCTTTTCTGTATCTCTGCATACAACATGGCCATATTCAGGATTTCTATCCGATCCTCTTTGCTATTGCTAGTGGGACCACGCCCCAGATGATGCAACTACTAGTAGATGAGTGTGAAACCAAATATTTCTATAATAGAGTCAAATGTGTGATATAAATTCCGGAAATTCCGCACGGCAGCGTCGAGGAGCGCTAGATTTGTCGCTGGCTTCTCGAAGCTTGCACGGAGCGCAGATGTATGGAGGTGATTTACAAGCGGTCAGATTAGATCTCTTATGATCTTGAATGCGTAGTTGTTCATACGGTGCATGTAGGAGTGAAGTGTGCGTTGCCGGGGGAGATAGGCCATAATTTGGTACACGAAGTGCGTTGCTGGGGAAGATAGGCCATAATTTGGTGAACTGGAGGTGGGAGTCGCTTGCATGCGGTGCACGTAGAAAGGCGGTGCTCAATCAGGCAGAAGCCGAACATAGTTGAAGCTGATCATTGAGAACGACAGTGGAGTTGTAGGGCCAGTGAAAGAGCCATGGGGGTCATTGACGCCTTGAAAGGGATTCCTGAGAAGGTGAAGGCAATTCCAGGCGCTGTGCGGGATTACTTCCAGGCCGATGAAGAAAAGGGAGCAAAAATTCGGCGATGGTTGGGGGCCACCATTATTGCCGTGGCCTTTGGCTACATGGCTGTTACGTCGGAGCCTATGGCATCCTGTCTTGAACCAGTTACCGATAAAGTCAAAGGGTTGTTTGGGAAGGGAAAATCCAAGAGCCAGGCATTCTACAAGCAGCACAAAGGAGCACAGAGGACTTATCCGCGTTATTGATTGCCGCGGAGTGGAATTGAATGCCTACGAGGCTGAGGTTGGAAAAAAAAAAAAAAAAAAAAAAGGGTGAAGATGCTTCTTGCAGCGGGATATGCTGCAGGGTGAATTGCCGCGGAGTGGAATTGAATGCCTACGAGGCTGAGTTCTCATGAACTTGCTGCAGGGTGAATTGCAAGGATGGGGAAGAGGTAGGCTTTTGATGACGCGGCGTATGCTGCTGCTGGCGATGTAGCTGATGTCTTCTGTTTCTGAGATGCTTCAAGAGAGATATGCCAAATCAGGGGCAAGGTCCCACTTGCACGGATTACCAGAATCTGGCCGTCGATCTTTGCTATCTACGGTCAATATCGCTTAATTCTTGAAGTGGGACCTAGCCCCAGGTGTGTTTTTGAGTGGTACAGATACTATAGATGACACACAGGGGATTCGAAATGTTCTTCCCAATTTTTTTAGGCATTTTAACTCTGTTACTGGCTGGTCCACTCAGGACAAGCCTGCTAGCTAGTGGAGAGGGTGATCTTGGATAGGCAAGACTGAGATGCTCTGTGGGGAGTGTGATACGCTACTATTTGCATTATCTTTCAGTGAAACAGATTATGATGAAGAACAGAGATGGCACGGCGGAAGGCACTGACTTCATCTGGTTCATCTGAGCGGCTAGTGGGAGGTGGACACAGCCGGCAGCAGGCTATTTCTGATCCCTTGTCTGAGCCAGGTCGTGGCGCACAGGGGTATAAAAGAGTATGTGATCGGACCAAAGTTAGCTGATCAGCTGTTTACAGAGGTTTCATGAAGCCGCACTTCCATGTCATTTGCTTTACAATGTGACCTTGTTGGCTTGAAGAGGCGTATGGATCGAGCAGACTGAGTGAGCGCGCGTGATCTTTCAGTAGAGAAGGAAAGGTCCATGCCTGCGAACTGATATCTGAGATCTGGAAAAAAAAAAAAAAAAAAAAGCTGGTCATATGCACTGGGTTGTTATAGTACTTGACTCTGATCATGAGCTCTCGGTCCGTGGCCGTAGATCATTCAATCGTTCGTCATGAACTGTGTGCTTTTGAAATTT